GCAACTCATCACCCACTACCTCCATCCAGACCCTCGTGTTCTGTTTCAATGCACACTGGTGGGAATAAGGAGTCAGTGTCACACTCACCACCCCTCTCAGTCACTACAAACTCACCTCGGACCAGTCCAGGACTTCCACAGGCAGTGTAGATCCAACACACATATGGGAAAACCCACACGGGCACACGCGATGCTTCACAGAGCACTGCCCCAGAGCAAGCCCTATTTTCTGACACGTATTTCTCAACTTACTGGGCATCACCTCTCCCCTCACCAAGTTAATCAGCTGTACCCCCATATTGGTCTCAGAAAGCCAGTATTTGAGAACTGTGCTTTTATTTTTATTTATGTTTATTTATTTTTTGTTCTCCCAAACAGGAATCCAGTGTGAACAGAGCATCCATGCTTGCTGGACTCAGAAACGGGATATGGACAGTTTTGTTCCCGTACCCACAAAGGCCTACACAGATGTGTATTGATTTTCCTTCCCACCTGAGCCAGAAGGCTGGGTGAGCTAACGGCCCCTGGAGTGCCCTCTGGCTGCACTGGGTTTCTGACAACTTTGTGCCCCACACCCCATACTCTCAAGTGTGGGGCTCAGGCCAGAGTGAGAAAGAGATCCTGTCCTCCGTGGGGTTTGTCTGAACACAGGCGTACTGCTTTAGCATTGAGGGATGAGCACTTGGGGTTGGGAATGTGTGAGTGTGCACGGGAGAACGCAGAACCATATTTAGACGAGATGAAATATTCACCAGGACCAGCCATGTTTTAAAATGATTATAAATTATTTTAACAGAGCATTTGCAAAGGGTTATAAAAACAGCCATAATATATTTTTTTCCTTAGATTCTAGAATTACCAGTATGACAGCTAATGCAATAATGATTTGTTTCAAATGCCAGTGTTTAAGCCGCATAGAGCTGATTTCAGACATTTTTTCCAGTAGGCCACATTGTACTTAATGAAATTAAACACACCAATCGCATTTGTCCCCAGGGGACGAGGAACTGAACACACCACCGGTTTATTTTTTTATTAAAATAAATTGCAGCCGGCAAGATGGACTAATTGCATACAGAATTGAAAAAGAAACATTCCATTGATATAATTAAGCCAATTTTCATGGACAGAAATAGTTATAGTGGATATAAAATAAGCAAAGACTTCACCAGAATCTGCGTTCCCTCTTTTTTTTTTTTTTTGACACAAAATGTTAACTATTAAACAAATATATATCTCAAGTGGCCGGCACTCCTATCTTCAGCTTCCTCGGGGGGTATTGTTCCTCCTCCTCATGAGAGGCACCTCCAAGGAGTAGAGGATCTGAGAATGGAGAGTGGTCAGAACAGGAGAGAGCACCCATCCCTTGCTTCAGGACCACTAGAGCTAAGGGCACAACAGCCAATCTCGAAGACCTTGCACTAGTCCTGCAGCTCAGGTCTACTGGTGACAGCAGCAGGGGCACAATGGGATGCCACATCTCCCTAGTGACCTAAGGAAGACGGGTGGATCCACCTATAGATTGGGGGTGGGGTAAGCAGGCATTCCCCTCCATGTGGGGTTTCTATACTTGTGCTGGGCAAAAGGCAAGGAGGGGCTAGGCCAGGTCATCCCTGGTCAACCTAGAACTTGCTCTTGGAGAGGGTGCCCACCTCCAGGTGAGGACAGGCTACACAATCATTCCCTGGAGGGGAGTGTCCAGCCCTGAGTAAATAGGATTCCAATCTGCAGGCAAGTGGGGGATAAATCTGATGGCTGTATTCACGGGTTATAGCACATGGAATCTACTTTAAGAACAGACCACAGAAAGCATTGGTCTTGAAATGCTTTAACCCTGACATGTTGAAAAAAAATTAATTAGTTAGTTAAAAAATGCTATGGAATTAACTATAGTCTCAGTACCATACTGAGAAACCCTGAAGGTCTGGAACTTGCTGTGCAATGGTGTGAGTGACTGTACCTATTTGGGGTCTCTTACCTCTGGAGGTGTCCTACTGTTCCACACATTCTCCTTTCCTTCCCTGGACCAGTGAGTGGGATGCTGGCTCATGCCTACCCAGGAGGGTGGAAGTGCACCCACAGGCACTTTGAGGGTCTGTTCCGGGGTTGGTGCCACACACAACAGAGGCAGAGCAACTCACAATGCAGGCTACCCTCCACCTTGTTTTCCCAGATAGTTCTCCCCACCCCAGTTCAAACCCGGGGTGGGCAGGCACACCTGTATAAGGGACACTAAAGGGGACACTTCAGGCAGAAGAGACCTTGCACAGGGGTTTCTGGGCCAGGTGGAAGGGTCTGGAAATTCAGGCGGAACCCCCAGGAAGCCATAAGGTGCCCCCCCAATAGGAAGGCACTGTTGTCATGGTCAGAGGCGTTAAGTCGGTGCAGTGTAGACACCTACTACTGCTGGTCCCATAGCCGTCTATGACCCTGTAAGAAGGGATCTGGGAGACACCTGAAAAGAGTTCCCTGGGCAGGTGCCGGGAACTGGCAATCTGAAGCTGGCTGCTGGAATCTAAGCTCTGAGCCCCAGCAGCCTTTCAGCCAAGCAGAAGCCAGAGAGAGAGAGAGAGAGAGAGAGAGAGACTCCCTCCACCTCATGGAAGTTCTCTCCTGAGGGAAAGTGCTAACACTGTTCCCCGAGAGCCTTCAACACAAGCTTGGGGTTTTTGATTCAAAATCTGATAAATTGTATTTAATGCTATTTGAAATTTTTTAAAGAAATTACTCAAAAGATTTTTAATCCTAGATAATTTTGTTGTAACTCTAATTATACATAACCTTAATTACCAGTACCAGCCCCCTCCCCCAAGGACCCCTAATTGCCTCCTAATTGAATAAAACAGAGGGCTACTCATGCCCCACCAAAGCCCTGTAAGCAGTGGCAGCTGAGGCAGTGCTGGCCCCCGGGGGAGGGAACTCTCTTCCACCCTTACCTAACCTCTAAACAGACAGTGAGGAGTTAGTTCTCTGTGGCTAGCACTGCCCATGTAGGGGTTTGGGGGCAGTAGAAAGGCAAGACTAGGAAGGGCTGGGTCTAATCCACACCTGTCCTTCAGACTGCTAGAGACCCTGGGGCATAGCTGGAAGGGAGACTGACCAGCAAGCACTTGCTTTACAAACAAGCTTTGGCGAGACCTACACACACACACACACACACACACACACACACACACACACACCAGGCCTCAGACCCCGACCCTTCTAACATCAACCAGTGGTGGCAGACACAAGGCCTGTGACACACAGCACACAGCACAGAGCCTCAGGGCACTGGCCACCAGCCCTGCGCCCTGCACCCAGCTGCCCCTCCACCAAGCAGGCCCCACCTTTCGCCTGAAGCGGGCAAGGCAATCAATTCCCGCCTACAGGTTCCTGCTTCTGTTGCAGCTCTAGAGAAAAGACTGTCCCCTGGGCTCTCACTTCCCTGGAGAGGGTAGAAGGGCAAGAGCCAGACAGTCCAGGCCCCTGCTTGTCTCAACAGGGAAGGGCATGGCCTTGTGCTGGGCCTCCCCAGTCCTTCAACCCAAGCAGCTTCACACAATTATTACACTAATTAGCAATTCAGCACCCCAACACATTCAACACTCACACAAAGTCCCACACCTAGCAGGGTGGGGTGTGTGATGTTTGGGACCACAAGGTCTGTCATCTCCATAGAAATCAGGTCTCTAAATATGGCTCTGGTGGGGTTCCTAGCTATACCCTTCTACTTGTGCTATGTGGTTACTAAAGGACAGGAAGGCACCATCACCAACCAAGCCTCATCCTGCCCACCTGGATCACAGCAGTGGCAGGAATAAGTGATTGTTAAGTATTTCGTTTTTAAATGTAGGGTCAAGACAGCCTCAAGCCCTTACTGGCCAGCACTGGCCCAAGCTGGGTAAGGGGGACCCCCCTTCCCTGAACTATCTTCACTCTGCCCCTGCTCAGGCTTAGTTTCCCACTAGCTGAATCATAGTCCCCCTGAGACTACCCCAGACACCTCTATCCTTATAAAAGCTCAACAGAAGGCTCTACTCTGGGCCCCTACAAGTGGGACACCTAAAAAGTCCAGCTTGAGTAAGCCAAGCAGAGAGGTCTGTAGTAGGAACACTAAGAAATAAATGCAAACGAAATTACACCTCAAGGTGCATACCCTTGGACAGGCCCCCCAAGCTCTGTGTCCTGAGGTCACATTTATTGGCCCAGCTGTCCTTCTGTCCTCGGTACAGTCTCAGTCATGGTGTGAGGGCCCGAGCAAAACCCTGACCTTGCTCCTTTCCCTATCCCTTGACCCTGTTGGCCAAGGCGGCTGGGCTGGCTGCTGCGTGTCTGCTTGTCACCCTTGCGCCAGGTAATGGAGTCAGGTGTCCCAGGAGCCTGCCACATCTGCTTAAAATATTATCTAATGAAATCCAAAAGTCCTCAGTAGGCCCTGAAGCTGTCTTGCAACCCCGAGCTGTCTCAACCACCTTCTTAAGGGGGCTTTGGTGACAGCAAGTAGTAAGTCACACAGCCTGGAACCGGGTCTCAGAGTGACACCCAAGAGGGGACTCTGGGACTGTCGGGCAAGCTTCTGAGGGCAATTTCTAAGAACGCCCAGCAAAGAGAAGAAGCAGTTCCACCGGCTGTGTCCTCCGGTTCTCGGCCTCTAGGGAAGGCCTGTTCCGTTCCCATCGTTCCCATCGTTCTCATCCTAAGTAAGGCCAGGGCCAGGTAACCTTCCCCACCTGGAGGTGGAGCAGGCGGAGAGCTGAGGCCCAGCAGGGCGCCGACCGGCTGTGGACCTCTGGGAAGTTTCCGGGGCCGCGCAGGGTGCGTTGAGCCAGTCTCTCGCTTGCAGCGAAAGCGGCGCGGCGACAAAAGGAGCGCAGTGGCTTTACTCTTCTCCTTCCAGCTCTGAGTCCTTCATCCTAGAGAGCCTGACTAGCCCAGCCTGCAGCCAGGGAGCGGAGACTCCTAAAGGCCCACGGTGCACACCAGACTCTAAACAGTACACCGCACACCCGCACCGTGCGTCGTGGATAGTCACGCAGTACGCACACAGCTCATTCGTACCCGCTGGGAAATTGCTGGCCCTGTTCGCACCAAGAGGGGTCAGAGGTCATGGGTGGCCCAGGAGGCCGAGGTCAAGGGCAGCTGGACAGGGAGCTCGGCGGGAAAGGGGCTCCTAACCCAGGGGCCACGAATCGCAGAGCTCAGGGAAGCTTGGCGGAGGCTGGAAGTTGCTTTTCCCTATAGGATGGGCGCGCGGCCTAAGGCATCCGGGGCCAAGTTCGGCAGGGTCCCGAGCTGAAAGCGCCAGGCTTCGGAAAACTATCGTAAATCCTACACCCGTTGGGCTCATGTTTTTAGAGTTCGGCTCTGGAAACCGCGAGGCCGAGCCAGGCAGGATCCAACCCTGGAGAGGCAGACAGAACGGCCTGGTGATCAGGAAGGGACCTGGAGCCAGAGTGCCGGACGCCCCTTTCGCGGGCCTACGGTAGAGGAGGGGGCGGCTGGGATGAGCGATTCGTATTCTCTGTGCACAGCGCTCACCGCTTCGCTGTAGCCGGGCCATGGCCGGGTCTGTTGAAGCCGCGTTTCTCTGGCCGCGGAGCAGCCGGTTCCCACCTGCTGGCTGCAAGGGCCGAAGCCCCCAGCCCGACTCGTAGCGGATGGAGGCGGCACCGGGCTAGGAGGGCGCGCGGGCTGCTCTGAGACGCGGTGGCGGTGGTGCGGACGGCGGAGTTCGCGGGCTTCAGTGGGGACCGGCCAGCGGCTTACAGCGCGCAGAGCCCCAGGCTCGGCCCAAGGCGGAGCGAAAGAGAAAGTAAGACCCGGGCCCTGGCAGTCTCCGCCGGGGCAGTTCGTCCCTTTGGGCCTCACGGGTGCCAGGGAGACCGTGTGCAGGAGGGTCGGAGCGAGACCAAGTGAGGAAGAGCGGCGGGGGGGTGGGGACCCTGCTGCCAGAGGCACCGGCACTGGGCGGGCCGAGCCAACTGCCGGAGTCACAGAGGAGCGCCGGCCACCACGCGGGGCACCACTTGGGAATAAACTTCATGACCACAGTTCCGAGCGCAGGAAAAGTCTCCATGTTGCTTCCCCAGCGGCTGGGGCCGCCCCGCCCGCCCCAACCCCCTCCTTGCCCCCGGGGGGCCGGGTGGG